AGAAGCGGTGCATATTTGTGATTCATTATCCTTGCAAAGCTAGGTGTTCACCGCTGCTAAGAAAAGCCATAGGAATCTGGCTAGGAAGCTTAAAGAAGAAGTGCATAATTTCTGTTTTGGAAATGAGGAAGTGTCTAGGCTGATATCCTTGTCTAGCTTTGCAAGGATAATGAATGTAAACTGATAAGTATTCAGCAGTATACTTGGTAGTTCTTAGAAATTGATAGCAGTAGAAGGATAAGCCTTAAACTGTATGTTTTTTTAGAAACTTAGATTAGTTTGACTAAGTTGGAGATATAAATGAACAACAACAATTACCGGAAAAAAAAAATTGTTGCCAAGAGTGTACATTATCCAGAGTCGAGCTGGTTATCATATACTCCTCTTTGCACTTGTTCGTGGTCAAAACAAACTGGCAGCGACTCTGGAAAACCAACACAAAGGGATTAAGATCTCAATTACTTAGACGGGCAAGTTTTTACCTGTACTATGAGACGGGTTTTGAGCAGCTCGAGAGGGTATGTGCAGAAGGTGGAAGCAATACCAGCTAGGCCACCGGCAATTGAGGATGCAAGAATTGGCAGCATTGACTTCTCCCCAGGTTTAGGGGTCATGCTCTTTAAAACGGTATCATATAACTGCAAAAGAATCCAAGAAAAGCAGAGTCAGTCTATTAAGTTACAAACCAATGTTTGGATGGCAGCAGGTTCTCTGTTTCCATAGGTTTAACATAAAAAGCCAGTATGTCTATTCAAATGATTACTGTTAGAATCTAATGCATAAGAATTAATTCTTTCAGTGATGATCATATGATGTCACAATAACAGGCAACCCAATATATAGTCCCCAAGGGTTTGCCCTGAAGGCTGAAGTTATGATGTTCAGTCATTTAATTATGATGATAAATTTCCGTATTTGTTTTTAGCTTATTCACCATAGTTGCAACAAAACTTCTAAATTTTGTCTCGCTCTTAGCAATTAAGCCCCCTTAAATGTTGGGCTCCACAAACTTTGATTTACCCCAATCTCCTATAAAATTTTCTTATATAAGCTCTGGGATTTATAGAAGCCAGGAGTTTAAAACAGATGGCTAGAATGGATTTAAGATCCTTATCAACAAAGCCTACAATCATGTTCGTAATGATGGGAGAACTCCTGTACAACTGCAGTTTCTTAAAGAGAACAAAGAAGACCCCTGAAGGTGAATCATGTACTTGTGGGAAGTGGTTATATGGTGGGTGTCAATCAACAGAGGTACATACCTTCATCGAAGATAGAAGGAATTTGACGGTCATGCCGTGCCGCCTCGCCGCGTGAAGGGGGGTCAATCAATGAGAAAGAACGACAAACGACACCCAATCTCCCCCTCCAAAACCCAAACCCCACGGCCACCATCAAGGAATAAAAGATCCAGTTGCCATCATTGATTGGTGTTCCACCTTTCCTCATCTGTCCGGAACAATATGAAAATCACCCATCCAAGCACCCAAATTATATAATAGTACATGAGTTATACAAATCCGAGGTACAAAAACAGAATAATCAGACATCGAACAAAATGAAACATGAGTCGACCGAGTCACACAGCAAACGAACAACAGCAGGATCGAGAAATACTCGATTTCATCACCTAAACATATCAGAGTCAAAGTCGGTGATAGGAACCTTGGCGACGCAGTTGAGGCGTTCTTTGCTTTTGCGGTGGATGAGAAATCTGAAGACATCTATTCAGACGGCTCCATATCCGAGTTGGAAGAGTTCAACTCACCGCTTCCACTCGTCGTCCACGCCTCGACCAAAGTAACATCGCCGTAATCGTCGTTGCGCCCTCCGCAAGAAGAGGAGGAGGAAGAAGTAGAGGGCGAAGTTGCAGATCCGGGGCGAGTCAAGTGACGGTACTTGGAGGGCGGCTTACCAATCGAATAGGCGAGGATCCTGTCCCATAAGAACTCGAAGAACTCGCGAAAAACAGAGACGCGTCTAAGGAGCGGCGGAGATTTCCACCTTTTCTCTGCGGCGGACGGCGGAGCAGCGGAGATTTCCAGCTATTCTGTACGGCGGACGGAGGTTCGCCATCGCAGCGTCGGGATGCGGCTTCGACAAGAAAAGAAAGGGCGACTGGGGGAACTTTTCATCTGGTGAGAAAATGAGCGGTTGAGTGCAGCAGGAGCTTTGCTGCGATGAGAATAGGAAAGAGGAAGGAGATTTTCAGGGAAAAAAAAAAACAGTGGGCGGTTCTTTATCCCTCCCATCAGGCGGGGTTTTCTAAATTAATGCCGCCTAAACACTCTGCTACATCACCCTCCTAAAATCACTCTATGAGCAGGAAAATTTGAATCGAGGGTGCAGTTATACTTTTCAGCTATAAATTATACTGTTGATTCGTCTAAAACAAAAACAATTAGTTATTTACTGCGTGAGAGAAGAGAGAGTTTTGTGGCATTGTCCTGCAGGACTTTATATTTTTTTAGATTGAGTGTTGATTAGTAATGTGTCTTGGGTTCATGGATGAAACGTAATATGTTGCTTCATTTGTTTCCTATGGCATGTTGTAGTTCATCCATCATATAATTCGGGCATTCTTAGGGGAGCAGTGTCTTACTGTGAAATTAATGAGTTGTTGACTTGTGGTGTAAGGTTAATTGTTCAGTCACTATATTGTTGGTTCATAATTATTTCGAAAATAATGAATTCGTCCTCGTAACTGCATTTTGTCAAGTGTGTTCCATCTACTCATTTCATGTGCGATTTACATTACTTTGGTTCCTTATTGCTATCTTTCCATATTGTTTGTTTTGGCCTGCACGTCCTTACACATTTGTTCTTCAATACTAGGTTGTTGATGGCTTCGGTGCTTATGTTGGAGCAATTTTTACACGAGCAAAGTCTAAGGCAGTCAGATATAACAAGTTTTCATTTCTCCTCTCATGTCTTGTTGTTGCAAATGCTGCTTTTGTTCTCCTATCTACTATGTTGCTAACAGTGAAGTGCGACGTGTGATACAACTTCAAGTTGTACCTTTAATATTTTAATTTTAAGTTAAAACGAAGGAGATATGACCCGATGAAAAAACTTACTCACATAACATAAAACGAATTCCCTAGAACCCAAAAACGTACCCACCATCATATACTCTTCCTATTCTATTCTCTCTCTTTGATCTGTTGTAAAATGGTCGGGAAGTTTAACCATTAGTTCATCGGAGAAGGCATCATGGAGGATGACCCGGTGATGGCATTCGATGAGGCAAATCCAGACTGCCAAAAACGATATTTTCTAAAGTTTTGTAGTATAAGAGTTGTGTACCATATTCGCTCCCCCACTCATCTCGTGTAGTTTAAATCGTCAAAATGGGCTCAAGCCCACTACTAGAGACGGAAAAACAACCATGCTTAGCCATGAAAGATTTCTTATTCTACATTCTGATTGATTGATATTGCAGTGATGCGCTCTACCTAGGTAACAACACGAAAATTCATGAAATAAAAACACACATGAACTATTCGGTAGGTACATGATTCATTGTTTGCTTCACTACCTTCAGTTTTTTACTACAACAGGGGAACACTGTTTATTTATTATTATTTTTTTTCAATAGATTTGACAGGAAGACCTTACCCTCTGTTTTCGAAGGAGAGGAAAAGTGGGGAGAAAGAAGGAAAATTTGAAGCGGAAGGAAAATTTGGGGGACGAGAATTGGGAGAGAAAATGTTGTGTTGTGAAAGGAAGTGGAATGAAAAATGGGGGTGAAAAAGTTTTTTGAGAATTGTGATTGATATGTTATTTTATTTTTATGTAATGTTAAATAAGTTAATTATAGGTTAATAATATTTTCATTAATTATGAATTAAATTTTAATTCCTTACCAATTCTGTTCATTATTAAAAATCAAAAGTGGATCATTTGAAGAAAAAGAATGACGACCTATTATTAAAATTTTTGTTAACTATTTTATTGATTCATCAACATAGCAACTAGATACATAAATATACAAAAAAAAAAAATCAAGATTTGATGATTTTGAATGGACGCAACCAAACTCTCGATTTCTCTTATAGTTTTAGAGAAATACGTTTTTTAATCAAAGCTTACCCCCCCCCCCCCCCCAAAAAAAAAATCAGAACCAACTCCCTAAAAGTGTACATGAACCTTATCTTTTCTTATTTAGGAAAAAGAGATGAAATCTTTTTATTAGGAAAGACAAACGCTAATAAGCAAAGGATTACCTAGGCAGATAGAGAATCTGTCTTCTGCGAGTTGACACGATGGATTACCACAAAGATGAAGGTTTAGAGACTTCTATCTATATTGAGGGACGTTGTGGATTTTTCTAGGTGAGTGAGCTGAGAAGAAGATTTTGATTAGGTTAGAGAAGAAAATAACAACTTTATTTTCATGGTATGGTTTGTGTAATGGAGGAGATGTAGAAAAACTATTGTTTTGATATTGTTCTTCTGGGAGGGCGAAGAAGAAGAAGAAGAGATAGAGAGAGAGACATCAATAAAAGAAAAAAGGATGTCAATTTTTTCTTCTCCTCAACCGTTCTGTCTCTCTTAAACGGAGGAAAGTATCTCGAAAATAAAAGTCCCCCCACCATTATTTTCCTTTTCCTCCATTTTTGCCCTTCAAAAACATGGATATGTGTCCAGGTGAATGAGTTTCACCAGCTGCGTGAACTTGAGGATTTTCTGGGGTAAACAATTTCTCCATTTCGTTCATGTTTATTTATTTATTTTACATAACATAATGTCAAGTTTTGTTCCATCAATCAAGTACTAACCACAAACTCATTTTGGCCTCCATTTTGTAGGTGTCGAGATAAGTTCAGTAAACGCTTCAAACCACGTCTCACCTACATGATTTGTCACCTGGAAGAGTTACAACATGTAGACAGACACCTAAGTAAAGATCCATACAAATTCAAGTCAATGTGTGAAACAATCTCTCTTTGTTTTGATGCATAAATTTCATTACTGAACATAGCTAGCTAGTTTGCTTATCACGTTTTGCTATTACATTGCAACTCATTGTGAGCTTGATGGATGATTTTCTGTCAAAAACATGGATATGTGTCCAGGTGAATGAGTTTCACCGGCTGCGTGAACTTGAGGATTTTCCGGGGTAAACAATTTCTCCATTTCGTCCATGTTTATTTATTTATTTTACATAACAGAATGTCAAGTTTTGTTCCATCAATCAAGATACTAACCACAAATTCATTTTGGCGTCCATTCTGTAGGTGTCGAGATAAGTTCAGCAAACGCTTCAAACCACGTCTCACCTACATGATTTGTCACCTGGAAGAGTTACAACATGTAGACAGAAACCTAAGTAAAGATCCATACAAATTCAAGTCTGTGTGAAACAATCTCTCTTTGTTTTGATGCATAAATACATTTTTCATTACTGAACCTAGCTAGCTAGTTTGCTTATCACGTTTTGCTATTACATTGCAACTCATTGCGAGCTTGATGGATGATTTTCTGTTAGAAACATAGTTTTTGATTCCATTTTATTATTTGGTACTCCTTTGTCGTTTTATCTCAATTGGTTGGAGTTCTGTAATTAAGCACTTACAAATTAATGATCTCTAATCCTAATACTCTCTCTCTCAAGCTCAACTCTCTCTTTCTCCCTCTTCTAGCAGTCACCCATCCCTCCCCTTTGTGATTGATTTTCTTTTTCTTCCTTCTATTAACCCTCTTCTTCTTTCTTTACTCAATCCCTACTCCCAAAATTTCCTCTCAATTTTCCACAAATCTTTAAGACTAGAACCCTAGACGGACCGTCTAGATCCATAGTTCTTTCAGCGATAACAGAGCATGGTTGGCATGGAGTTATGAGAAGATGACACCTTCATCTGACAAGACATCGAATCTGCAGAAGGATGCTGGAATGGCACTCACAGTCAAAGACATTACCAAACACGAGGCGATGATCAACATGATGAACAAGTTGATAGAGCATCAGGGTGACGCGAAAGCCCAGGTGAAGGAGACGGGCTAACGCCCGGATTAGCGATTATAATGGCTCCAAACTGTGATGACGCAGGCGATGGGGAAGCTTGAGCGATCGATCACTATGATTGCTCAGGCAATGGAGGTTCTAACAAGAGCCATGGCATCGAGAGAGCGATCAGACTGGGGCGGGGCGAAGCCCGACACAGAGGTGACACTTGCCCCGAAGCTCGGAGGGATGACAACACCGACAAAAAACGAGGGGGAGGTGGTGGCTTCGCTGGCTGGCGGTGGTGGTTGAGGACGGTCGGGTCAAGGGAGACAAAGCCTGGAGGTCCAGGCTTATAATGGGCCGGAAGGGAGAACGAGCATACTACCCAGACCCATGACCCAAGAGATTGATGCAGTTCGTAGAAGGGTAGGTTAGCGAGCTAGAGCCTACGAGCTATGAAGGTGGGTCTTGCCCATGTGGACTAGTAGTTCGTGGGACAGAAGTAGCAAGAGAATTAGGCCATCTAGGCCCAAACTATGGATGAGAGGAAGATGAGTTAAGCCTAGCGAGCCATGGAGGCAGATGGGCCAACCCAGGCGGAGCAGGTTTGGGCAAGGTCACTTATCCAAACCAGACTAGGTGGCATGAGCCGGACCAACCTGGATGGACCAAAATCAATCGAAACCGAGCTGAATTGGACCGAATCAACACGAGCAACAGTGGAGGAGGTCTTGGGGGCCGAGGCGGCCACCAACATGCGACAGACTGGGGATATCCTCTATTGGTGACATTACTAGTGGATCAAGTGGGGCAAGGTCTGGAGGCTAGATAGGGTTCGAGGGTGAACTCAAGTAACCTAGAAGAGTACATGGAAGAGGGTGAGGATTGGTCCTTCCCTAAACCACCACAGTACGACTAAGAAGTGGCACTCGAGGAGGCAAGCGACGGTCGTGTTCGGGCATTGGCAGGTATGGAGGTTATAACCCTATGTATGACAGTGACAATGATTTGATTTTTAGGGTTAAACCACCGATCATTGAGTTTCCTAGGTTCGATGGCCAAGAGACTTGTGGTTGTGGTTATACGCGGCGGAGAGGTGGTTTAGGAATCACCCGACTATAGAGGAGAGGAAGGCACATCTGGCGTCCTTCTACTTGGAGGCATGGTCCATGAAACCGTACCGGACACCGTACCGGAAAAGTCAGCGGTAGGGTATTTTATGACAAAACCGTGGTTTTACCGTAGTTCAAACGTTCATACCGTTAAATACCGCTTACCGGTTTAGCCTCCGATACTGGTATTTTGTGGTTGAACCGCTGGTACGATACGGTTTCATGGACCATGCTTGGGGGTAGATGCCTTGCAGTGGTGGGAGTGGATGGGGAGGTCATATGTTGTAGCGAAGACCCTTATCACATTGCCCATGTTCTAGGCGGAGCTTAAGTACTAGTTTGGCAAGGCTAAGGGATGAGCACCAGAGCATTTGGCAAAGCTGAAGCATATTGGGACGGTGGCAGACTATAGATCGGGGTTCCTAAAGTTGGGGAACCAATGCAAGGGGGTGGTTGAGGAGACACTGGTGGGGTTGTGCATGGTGTACTGTGACACAAATTGGCGACCTCATTTAAGATTTTTGAACCTGACTCGTTCCAAATCTCCTTGAAATTCGCAAGAAAGAGGAGCTATCTAGCTAGAAGGGAAGTGTGGGCAAGTTCCATAAAGGGGATTGCGGAGAAAAGGAAGAAGTAGAATTAGATTGGACATGCCTCATGGAGTACCACATCCCCGCTGACAAAAACCTGCAGATTATCCCGGCCATATAATTTGAAACCTTTGACATCAAATGGACAACCAAGAAAAACTTATCTTCGTGCTCTAGGATCAAACTTTCCTGTGTGATTATCCAACATAGTGGCATAGACCAAATATCCAAAAACTCTCAAGACATTGTATCTGGGGAACTCCATAAATGCACTAAAAAGGTGACCTTGTTATATAAAACAAGTGTGGAGATGTTGTTAATTAAATTGGATAGGTTGCATGAATAAAAAATGACTCCAAAAACTCTTAGGCATTTCTAACTGAATTTTAAGAGATCTAGCAACGTTTAAAAGGTGTTGATGCTTTCTCTCAATCATATCATTCGATTGTGCAATCCTTACACAACTCATCTGGTGTATAATGCTCTATTCTTGATAAAAATCAACCATGTTGAATTCCTGCCATTGATCAGATCGTATGATCTTAGAGGTGGCAAATGGATTGGATCCATAGATTGGTGGATGAGATTGGTAGATCCATGGATCAAATGGACTGGTGGATTGATCCATTGTTCCAAATGACATCCAATTTTTGGACCAATATGCAAATTTGTAAAAGTTTGGGTACTAAATGTCATAAAAAATATAGGTACCAAAACATAATTTTCTAATGATATTTTGCATATAAAATAAATATAAGAAACATAGGTACTCTACTTTAATTTGTCAACGATTCATGAATCCAATCCATGAATCCACCAATCCCATTGAATTTGGATCAAATGGATTGAATTTGAATGGATTGAATTAGTTGATTTGGCAGGAATTGGTGGATTGGATTAATTACCACCTCTATATGATCTTGATACTCTCCTCAAATTCTGTTTTTACCATTAAGCAAAAAGATTGCAAGATATGTCTAGCTTCAGACTTAGCACTCATAAGAAACATTCATGTGCAACTATTGAAATCATCCATCATAGTAAGTAAATAAAATACTTATAACCATTATGTGAAATCAAATAACATCAATTGGTCCCAAAATATCCACATGGATCATATCAAACACAAACTTACTACTCGACATACTACAAAGGAAAGAGGATCGTTTCTGTTTAGACAATTGACAAATTATCATTGTGAATTGAAGGTATGAAAAAATCACTACACTATTTTTGGATAGTTTTCAATATAGGAGGAGAAAAATGTCCTAGTCTTAGATGTCACAATGTAGAATCCTTACTAGGTTTAACTCCATAGACTCTATGTATGTTGGTTTTGAGCTCTCAGCTTCGTCCCCAAACATATATGGCCCTCTATCTACACGTAGTGTACCAATCTTCTGTTGTGATATTAGGTCTTGAATACACATAAGTTTGATTCAAACATTAGTGAGACAATTGTGTTTTTTGTTAATTAACTAACAAAAATGAGATTGAAAGAAGAAGAGGTTACCCAAAAAAACATTGGTATAGAGATGAGATCTAGAGAGTCTATGCTATTTTTATTTGTTTTATATGATTTTGATGAACTAACTCATCAACTTGAACTATCATGAGCCGGTGAAAAGTTTGAAGTAGGGGTGGCAACTTGAACTCGCCTCGTCAGGTGTTACCCGACCTGCAATAATTTGGAGTGGGGCGTGGGCATTTACTTTTGACCTTCTTGCCCCGTTCTTGGCCCATTCTATCTCAATTTCTTACAATATCTATTCATATTTCTCATATTTTGATTTTTCTTCAACTAGTTACACATGATCTTTCAACTAGTTAGACTCAATTACCCATTATGGTATCACTGTTTTTCATTCATAAAGTAATTTCTTTCGTTTTATCGTAAAAATTAAAAAATGTGCGTGCATTTTTATCAAATAACATATTAGGGTGGATCGACCCGCTCACCCCATACTCACGTGGGTATGACCCAAATTAGCGCGGGACGGAACATTGATATTGATGTACCCACCCCGCCCGTCCCATTGCCATTATTAGTTTGAAGAGGTGACTATTGTCTTAGTCTACACTTACTTTAATGACAAATTTGATAAGAATCTAAGTACAGTGACTAATTTGCTAATGACTCCAATGCTCAGTGACCGTTAGGCGTTAGTGTAAAAAAGGTGAAAATTCGCAAATGACGCAACGGACCGCCAAGTAACCAAACGCTCGTAAATGGCCAAGTCAGTTCAGTAATCAGAGCAAAGCTTCTTCAACCAAACGTTCGCAAGGAAACAGTGATCGGAGAGCAATGGGGTTTCAGTACAGAACTCTAGCAAAGGCGGTGCGGCGGCGCACCGCGAGCAGTATTTCACCACCGCCACAGCCGCCGCTCGTCCTCTCGCGATCCTTCGCGCATTTGTCGTCCGAGTTCGCGGCAAAGTGCGCTTGCCGATCCCCCCGATTTCTCACTATCCCTCTCTCTATCGTTCCCTTTCCCCAATCTCTGGTTTCAAAATCACCCGCCTAAAATTCTCAGTGATTTTCGATAATGCAGCCGCAGGTCTCCTCCTCGTCGTCATTTTGGCATTGCGTTCGATATCGACGGCGTCATTTTTCGCAGCGAATCGCCAATCGGCGGCTCCCCTCAAGCGCTCAAACGCCTCTACGACGAAGAATCCGGTGAGCATACAGTTTCCAACTTTTCCGATCCCGTGGCGAGGCCGGCTTATGGTTGAATTTGATTTCTCTTCTTGTATGTTGGCAGGTGCCTTACGGATCCCTTACGTTTTCCTGACCAATGGTGAGCACGAGTTTTTTACTTTCCCTAATCGTTTGAGCTCCTAAGACGTCTTGCACTCACTTTGATTATGGCGCATTCGATTGGAGAAGAAACGAACCATGTGTTGGTTATTTCTGTTGTAGGTGGTGGTTTTCGCGAGTCTATAAGAGCATCGGAGTTGAGCACACTTTTGGGCATTAATGTTTCGCCATTACAGGTACTTAGTGGTTGATATGCACTTGGCTGTATGTTCCTTGCTGTTAAATGGGCTTTGATGGTGTTGCTGACAAGTAACTTCTCCCTGATTTTCCAGGTACTACAAGGTCATACTCCCTTTAAGAATTTGGTGCAGAGGTATGATTTACAGACTCAGTGAATGAATGCACTCGTTGGTAATATCAGTTGGCTTGTGAACACACAATTTTATGAATCTGATCTTGGCTCCTAGTTCAGTCTGCAAGGACCATACTTCATAGGCTGAAAGGAAAGTGAATTCTGTAGACAATACTTGTGGTTTAGTATAAGACGGACATACCACAGCAGCGTTACACATTTCTTTCTGATTTCACTACACCCCTCAATGTGTTAAATTGCTTGCTACATGGTTCAATTGACGGGAAGAAGTAAAGGGAGCACAAATCATGGGATTTCTTGGCTAGAACTCCATGGACGTGAAGATAGTATTAGGTTAGAGAAGTTGGACTACTCACATCTGCAGATATTCTGGCATTCCATATCTAATATGAGAAATGAGTTGATTTAAGTGGCAGCTACCTGAGGAATTAGTGTATATTACTATATGTTTCGCTTTGGCCGATATATTCAGTTGCAACAATTGTGTACCTTGCAGGCTTGAGAATGAACTTGTTGTTGCAGTTGGAAAAGGAGAGCCAGCTGCAGTGCTGTCTGAATATGGATTCAAGTAGGACCAGAGCCATTTGATTTTATTCAAATTTTGAACTTAACTATCTGGGAACACTATTCACTGTGCCCTAATTTTTTTTGTTCACAATGGTTTATTATGCAGAAAAGTTGTTTCTATAGATGAGTACGCATCCTGTTTTCCTGGGATTGATCCACTTGCACCATACAAGAATTGGGAAGTTAAACAGGTTCCCAAACACAATGGGGTTTCAGAAGCCAGAACCTCAACCGACAATATTTGTTCACAAAGAGTACAGGCTGTGTTTGTTGTCAGTGATTCAATTGATTGGAGCAGAGACATTCAGGTGCATTACTTTGTCGATTTCTATATTCCTAAGAGAAACTATTATGCTATTTTATTGCAATTACATAATATGTTACTTGTTGAAGATTAATGATGGGTTCAATTGTTAGGTTCTCTGTGACATTCTAAGAACAGGAGGTCTTCCGGGAAGGGAGATTGGACACCAGCCACAACTTTATTTTGCTCATGATGACCTTGCCTACCAGGTTAGTAATTTTACTTTTGCAGGCTTGAGGTATCGATTTTCAGTTCAGTTCTGTATCATTTACATGTCAAAATAAACTAACGTAGTGCCGCTAAAGGAAGGCTGCATTTCCTTCAGAACGTTTTGGTTTGGGAGCTTTCAGAATTGCACTAGAATCCATCTTCAACAGGTAAAACATATTTATGGTATAACCAATTTTGTCAGTCTGAAATTAGCTTCCATTTTGTGGGATAAACATAAAACAGTATGTCAGCTCCCGCTTAGGAAAATCAGTTTTGTTTTTGTTTCTGGTGATCATAACTTGCTGGTTTCTGAAAGAGCACGGATCTAGGTGTGCGATTGATGATCGTGATTGGTATGAGAATTAGGGATTTGGGATGAGGTAGAATTGGGGAATTAGGGTTGAGAGAAGAGGGTTCCGGTCACCGGGATGGTGGCCGACGAGTTGGAGAGGGGAAGAGAGGGTTCGGCTATGATAGGGAGAGAGAGAGAGCTTTAGGGAATAATTCTGTTGTTATTGCTTAACCCTAGCTTATGCCTAACACAGAATATATATAAACCGACTAATTCCCTATAACTACCCAAAGACTTAACCTAACCGATTTAACCTCAATAGTTCCCAAAATAGCCAACATAATATAAAACGTCAAATAACAAATAAACCCCAAATTACTAAATATCTGACAGTTTCCACGAGGATTCTGAAAGTTCTGAAACTGAATCTTTAAGATAGAGTAGCAGAACCCAGTTTGACTATGTTTTTATACAAGAAACAGTCACAAGTACTATTCTGATCATGGGTAATATGGTTTGAAACATGCAGAATTCATCATGATCCTCTTAGTTATACGTGTTACGGGAAACCAAATCCATTTGTGTTCAAGAATGCTGAAGCTGTGTTAAAGCAATTGGTTTCTTCTTGCCCCGACAGTGGACTAGCCCCTGACAATGCAAGTACAGCAGTGCATAATTTTGAAAGACTATATATGGTAGGAGATAATCCAGACGTTGACATCAAAGGCGCACGGCAGGTTTGTTTCACGAACAAGGACCTGACCCTTGAGCATTTTTTCTTTTTGTGAACCAACAAATGTTTCGACCTCGAAAAACGCTTTTGATCAGTCTTTTGTTTGACTATCATATACATTGATTTCAGGCTGGATATCCTTGGTTCTCAATTTTGACTAGAACTGGGGTTTTCAAGGGAACCGGAAACCATGACAAGTTTCCAGCTGACTTGGTACGTGGTTACTTATGTGCAGCATAGTAATAGGGTAGTCTACTCCACGATTTTTTTTGCCCTAATGAAAGCTGGGGTACCAGAACTCATATATACGGTTTTTTCCATCAGTCGAAACGTGCAGTTAATCTTAACAGAACATCGCCACTGAATAACATTTAACAGTTTCCTGAAGCTCGATTATGGACTGTATAGCAGACTGCAGATAAATCATTTGGTTTGGACTTTTACAATACGAGCGAGGACGTATGGTTGTGTTGATGAAATGCTGTTTGCTTCATGTTGTTTGTAGGTTGTGGAGACTGTAGAAGAGGCTGTAGATTACATTATAAGAAAGGAGTGCAGCTGACACCAGGCTTAGTTCCGGAACAAGTCTTTTTCGATCGACATGTCTTGCAAAAACAGAGGAGAATCAGTACTCAGGTGAACAAGAACCATATTGCATCACCCTCTGTGGCTTAGATTTTGAAGATGCTAGACCTCCTTGTTTTTGCATATGCTTTTAGAATACATTATAGCACAAAGGAAACTGTTCAGGTGCTTATTTTCTTAATAGGCTGTGTTTAAAATCAGCTGTCAATGTACTCAGTGTTATTATATCAAATTTCTTGGCTTATTATTATTGAGTTCCTCGGACAATGGAAATTAATCCAAGTCACAATAGTGTCTTATAGTGTCCATTATTGGTCATAAACTAATAATGGAGCTGGAAGCTTGTACCTTGGGGTCAAGCAACAAAGGATTTATGTAAATTATAAATCTAGGGTTTGGACGCCTCGTTGGCCGTTGCTTTATTTTATTGATTTACATGTCAATTAATCAACATAAAGTAGTTTATGGCGCGAATTTCACTTGTAGTTCAACTTCACCCTTCGTTATCTTACACATTTACAATGATGTTTTTGTTTCATTATCTTGTTAATTCATTTGATTAAGCTTTGGACGTGCATAACGTGTAAATAACTTAACTAAACAATTGTTACAAGAAAACCATATTATGATCACTTTATGGTTTATATTAGTGGCTATATTGGTGTTACTCAACTCTTAAAAGTATGTAAACTTACAGGTAAATTTTATAATAAATTTGAAAATTGAGTAGGTGGTAATATTTTAGTCTCTTTGTCAATTACCATAGCTCAAATCCCACGAGGGTAAGATTTTTTAGCCCTCTCTTTCAGGTTTCTTTACCAACCAAAATAGTCATGTTAGACTTGATTTACTGGACCAAGATGTCGCCAAGAAATACATGCCAGCTCACTCAACAACCTCTGAAGAGTGTTCAACTAAAAATCATCTCTTTCCCAATATTCTCTAATCCATCGAGCGTCTTGAAGTATTTTATCGGCCAGAAGACCAGAGACTAATTTATGTTCTGAAAGAAGTTGAGTCAGAAGACGTACTATATATTCATCCATTTGCACTACTACTACTTATTCTTCTTATTTTTCCTACTAATGCATGTCCTTGATTCATATTTTCCCCCTATCTATACATGACTTACCTCTCCAAATTTTTTCTATACATGACTTACCTCTCCAAATTTTTTGAGAACCACATAACCCATTCTCCTTAGACAATATACACAATATCATAAAGAAAATCACGACACCCAAACAATCATAGATGTGATAAACCACAATGTGGAACAATTAAGTATTATTGGATCTTATTATAAGAGGTTAAAAGGCTTAACTATCCCTTTCCCAACAACTCGAGTTATTGGGGCCAAGTGGTTAGTTCGCTAACATGGTATCAGAGCCTAGAACCGAAAGGTCATGGTTTCGAATCCTCATAACGACCCCCATTTCATGTCAATTCGTTTAGCACAAGGAATGGTATGTCCAACCTGTGCAAACTAAAGCCTCGTGGTTTGGCAGCACAAGGTTTCAACCTGTGCAAACCGTAAAAATCCACAATTCGGCATCGGCTTTCGTTTGAGGGGGCGTATAAGAGGTTAAAAGGCTTAACTATCCACATCAAGAGTAATTCCACGTTTACCTCAACCATTGGCCTCCTTGCTACAAGGAGAGGGGGGAATCATTTCATTTTGCTTTTGATCGCCGAACAGTCTCCATCACAGCAAGAACCAATACATGCACCAATTATTATGAGTTAAATGGTTGTGTGCCAAAAAGGGGGGGAGGTGTTTTCTCGTCCTAAATTCGTTTCTCGCCCGCCACTTGGCTGGTTCCGACATTGTCACCGTCTTCGTCGTCTCTCTCAAGCTGTCTTCCTCGGCTGGAAGAATCAAACGAACCCCACTTCTTTGGACTTCGCGGCGAATCCAAGGCGGTGTTTTTCCATGAACCGCATGTGCGATTCGTTTTGGATCGTAATGTACAAAGAGAAAGAAACCTTATTATTTTTTTATTAACTTTTTTATATTTAATGGTACGTAGCGCTTGGTTACAACAGAAGTCGTCGGCAAAAAATAGTTAAAAGGCCACAACAGAGGGATGCGGCGACCTGATTTCCTTTCCATCCCCTGTCTTGCTTTCTATGGTCTTGTTGACTGGTCAGCGAGTGGAGGTCCAAGGGCAATGTCTCCGGTTCATGGTGTATGGGTTCAATGTTGTTTGGATTCGTGTTCTGGTTCTGGTTGTAATTAACTGTTTTTCCTAGACCATTTGGATTAGAGTTAGACCATGGTGAAGTACTATAAATACTTCTCATGCTCCTCTGTAATCTTTATCTCTTTGAAGTATAGTGAATCTGGCTCTCTCATACCCGTGGACTAACTAACACACATTGGTGTTTAGTGAACCACGTAAATCGTGTTTCGTGTGCGTTCTCGTGTTTCGTTTTCTTGCTCTGTCAAATCCTCCTATTTCCCAATCCGTATAGAAACAGTCGTGACACCAAACCTTTTAATTATATACACAATAATCATATATATATATATGTACGCTAACTAAAGAGTAAATACCATGCTTGGATCTCTCATATGTCGCTATATATATATATATATATGTGCCCACACGACATCAACGAACACCACAATTCATAGCTTGCAAGCTCAACCGATCGAGCAAAAATGCTTTAGGGGAAGAGAGGCCGAGCATGGTGAGGATGAGAGATGATCAGATCAACACATGCAAATAATATTAAATGTTTTGTATTTGTGTTGTGTACGTGAAAGCCAAGGATGACTTGCTCGACCAACCGATCGCAGCTAGCTAGCCCGCCGGCGTTTGGCGAGCGAGTCATTCCTTGCTTTCTCGCTCTCTCGTCTTTCTCATGCTTGGTCGCCGCCTTCTCTTCCTTTTCTTTCCACGGATTTCCCTTTCGCCGGACGGAAAAATGCTGTCATTTAAGGAATTAATGATCTGTCGGCCGGCCGACTTGGGGATGCCAAGGTGCGTGGGAGGTCCATTTCTTCATTTCCATATAGTAGACTTACATATATATATATATATATATATATATATATATATATATATATATTCTCTATTTCAAAATTTATTATTATATTTTGATTTTAGTTACGAATTTTTTTGTAAATTTCAGTATAGTACTTGATAGGTAGAGTGAAAGTCAAGATTCCTAATTAACTATAGACTGCATCAAAAATTTGCTAAAATAGGTAAACATCTTAAAACCAGAGGACTTACCCACCACAAGAATCAAATAATAAATGTGGAGTTTAAGTGTATCACAACTCATAAATTGATTAGGTTACGTGAGTTTGTGGGAATACAATGATTATATATTCTCAAAAGTGATATATATGGTTACGTCTTCGGTGCACTCACTTTTTTTGTGCATTCAATGCACTCACTTCATAATTGACATTCTGAGCAGACGATTCATGTCTAGACAATGTTAATCATCACGTATGATACGACGAACAAGAAATCCCATGAATTGGCACAAAAACTATTCCAAATTTACATTAATTTGATGGAATTATGGTTTATGGATTTAGGGTTAGAGTTAAGGTTCATGATTTGAGGTTCAGGACAAAAGTTCAAAATTGAAGGTTCAGAGCTTAGGGTAATGTATTGATTAGTTGTGATCTTATGTTATATCATCATATTACACTAATATTGTCAATCAAAATAAACAAATCGATGTCTTAAGACTACTTTTAGAGTTGGGTGCATTGAATGCACTCATTTTTGTGAGTGCACCGAAGTAACCACTATATATATATATATATATATATATATATATATATATATATATATATATATATTCGATGGTTGAGCTAAAATCGAAAATATATTATATGATCATAAGAGAATGCAATGGTTTTGTAACAAACATTTTTAATGTCAGAAGTGAATGATCAAAAAATCAATAACTAATAATTTCATTAAGGATTGAGAATCATATAAGTATAAAAATGAAAGACTAAATATCATTGACCAATGAGTCTTGCATCATTAACTAATGTTTGAATTTAACAATTAAAGTTAGAGTTTAAGGTTCATAATCATCTATCGTTGTCCTCGGTGCATTTTTTATCGTAGAGTTTAACGTTTAGATAACTAGGGTCTAGGATTTGCTCATTTTAGTTTAAGTTATATGATTCGCACATTCAAAAAAATAGGATTTAAAGGGCCAGAGAATTAGGGTTTAGGACTAAAAATGATATATTATATTCACTGAGAAAATTTCTAAATTTTGTAATCCAAGACCAAGCATTGAAAATGATAGAAACAAATAGGTGTCGTGCTTTAAATCTTTACACAAAATCCTATGCCGAAACTTACACGCCTCCATTGAGGTCATGAGTCAAATTAGATAGTGGAAGCATCATTAGTTGGTATGCAAAATATTGAGAATTTTCAACACACTTTTATGAAAGAGGAAATAGAAGAAGAGAGTTAGGGGAGGCTGGGAGCGATTGAGCTTTGGAGTTTGAGAGAATTCTAGAGAGTGGAGAGGGAAGTTCAGGTTTGTCTCTAGAGACTCCATGCTCCTTTTGTGTAGAAAAAAAAAGAGAGAAGAAGTTGGGCAGGAATGTGAGACTGGGAGGTGCATCACAAAGAGGGCACATGGGGTTAGGAGCACATGATCTGGAGAATAACCTCTCCCAAGTGGCGATATCCTTCTTAGCACACTTCCAGATGAAGAATCTCGTCTTAGGTGGCAGAGAAAGGGACCACAACCATTTCCAGTCAAAATTCTCCGAATCAACAACCTGATGATCACGTCTCGCCCTAAGGACATGATATGCTGACATAGTAGAATAGTTGCCATTCTTGTTGTGTTTCCAAACCCAACCATCATGAGCTTCAGCAGGTCCCACTGGAATCCGCATAATAGCTTCGGTTGTACTTTCATCAAGGACTCCTCGAATGACCTCAACATCCCAAGAACGATCATCTTGATTGATCCAATCTGAGACCCGTGACGGTGTAAGAATGAAGTCCCTCAGTGAGAATGATGGGATAGAGGGAAACCATGGATCAGTAGGGAAGTTAGTTTCAGTTCCTGACATGCATTGCCTCTTCTTTTGCCACTATGCTTTTGCTACTTGGGGGCTCTCTGATTCACTCCATAGCCTCCCTCCGAAGAACTCATCCTTTGGTGAGTGGTTCTTTAATCTCCAAAACACCTATTCCAACACTCAGGTCCGCAGGATTGTGTGCTGCTTATAGAGTATTTGGATTGCTCGCAACACTTGCGTGTTTGAAGAAAAGGCTCCCACCCCGACCTCTTTTGTGATTGTGTCGGGTCGTGATTTCTTTCTAATAGAGGAAGCTTGGAAGACTCCGTCGAGCTCTCCTTTCTCTCGGTCGACACGATCTCACTCCCAGCCTAGGGGTCCCCGTTTGAACCCTTTACCACCGCCCCTCCCGTTTTCACGGTTGATGTATTGTGACGGTTCCTTTGTCTCAGATTCATCATTGGCGACATATGGGATTATTATTGCTAATGCCCATGGTCAAGTGTACGACGGCAAGGCTGTTTCTTTCCTCTGTTCCCATCCTATTCAAGCGGAAGCCTTTGGTCTACTCAATGCCATCTTGATTGCAGCGCAAGACACAGAACCTACCCGCATCCGAACAGACTGCCAGGTTCTTACTCTTACTCTTCGTCAAGACCCTTCTCTTTGGCCTTGGCAATGTCGTGCGACGATTGCTCGCATGGTGTCGGTCATCCATTCTGCTCCATGGATCAAGGTCGAGTTTGTTTCTCGGCGTCTGAATTCACTCGCGGATTGGGTTGCTGGCCAAGCTCGACTAAATACATTACCGGTGGACTGGATTGTAATTTGTGATATTATTGCTCCACTCTTGTAATGTTACTGGCTTCCCTTCTTGGGATTGGAATAAGAGGATTACTTGTTAAAAAAAAAAGAGACTGGGAGGGAGAGGAGATGAGGGGATCGAGAGTTGGGTCTGGCAATC